TGAGGATCGAACCCAACACCTCACATGTGTGAGGCAAGTGCTCTGCCACTAAGCCACAACCTCAGTCCCTGTAAATAACTTTTGAGTATCTATTTTAATATAATTTGTTTCATTGTTTTCCTGTAATTTAATGTTTTTGTAGTGCTGCAGATCAAACCCAGAGCCTCATGCATGTCAGGGCAGTTTTCTACCCTTAAGCTACACCCCATCCTATAATTTATTTATTTATTTATCTATTTATTTTTGGTACTGGGGATTGAACCCATGGGAATTTTGTCACTCTGCTACATCCCCAACCCTTTTTATTTTTAGTTTATTTTGAGACCAGGCCTTCCTAAGTTGCTTAGGACCTTGCAAAGTTGCTGAGGCTGACTTCAAACTTGTAATCCTCCTGCCTCAACCTTGGTAATAGTTGGGATTACAGTTGTATGTCACCACACCTGGCCCATAATTTATTTTATTTTATTTATTTACTTTTTTGGGATTGAACCCAGAGATGCTTAACCCTGAGCCACATCCCAGCCCTTTTTTATTTTTGATTTTGAATGGGGTCTTGCTAAGTTGCTCACAGCCTTGCTAAATTGCTAAGGCTGGCTTTGAATTAATGGTCCTCCTGCCTCAGCCTCCCAAGTCATTTGATTATAGCAGTGTGCCAATGTACCTGGCCCATAATTTAATTTTTAATGACTGTATTTAATAACCTGCTTATAGAATTTCTGAAAATTTAGTACAAGTTGGTAAGGACCATCTCCAACACACCACTAAAATAATACCTGAATGAGGAGATCATTTTTTGCAATGAGAAGGGTAGTTTACAAGATAGATTTGGTCTATTGAGATATGTAGACATGTAGTCTTTAATGAATGAAATTTTGAAAGGGGAAAATAAGGTAAAATGAAAGTTCAAAAGACACTAAGCAAATTATTAACTTGAAATTATTTATTGAGTTTCTAATATATTCAATACACTATAATCAGCCCTGGTAATACAAAGGCAAATACAGATATAATTTTTGCCTTTGGAGAATGTATACTCTAGTTGCTAGGTTAGACATGCAAGCACAGCAAATACTGCAAGGACTATATTATGATGAAATACAAATACATTCCAATAGGAATAGAAAAATAAAGGACAGACTGAACATTTTTTCACAAGGAAAACCAGATTTTTTTGGAAAGGTGTTATTTGAGTTGGGACTTAATGGATGAGGAGTATACTAGTTGAAAATGAAGAGAATTCCAAGAAAAGTGTAATCCACTTAATTAGCCCAAGGTATAAACACAGTGACATCATTTTTATTTTCTTAAGGACTATTTGTTCTTATTTCCTTATGTATTTGCTCCTATTGTGTGGACATACACCATCTTTCCTGAGGCCCCACCTTGCCCCATGAATTTCTACCAAATCTTGGTTCAGCCTAAGAGAAAGGGATGACTGACCTTCATTCCCTGTTACAAACACGTGGTAATATGCACTTGAGCTCCAAGGTCACAGCTCTCAAGCATATTTGATTGGTCACCATTTCCCTAATAAACAGTACTGGATGGACCTAGATTTTCTCAGCAACATTTAGACTCTGGCATATAATCTCAGATATGAACTTGACTTCACCAACCTTCTCTAAGGACTGACTCCACTGGGATTCTAGTGTGTTGCTTGCTAGCAAAACTATGCACAAGAGAGAGTGGTGCCTTTTGCTCAGTAACACAAATTGGTACAATTAAGAGGAACCACTGAAAAATCTCTTCACAGAACAGCATTGCTCAAATTGACTTTCTGTCTTGCCTACATTGAGAAGCAGCTGGCAGCTCCCCCAAATCAATCAATTCCTCCCCCCTCTCTCATAGCAAACATACACAAAAATATATATAAATAAAACTATATTATCTATTAGTCTCTACTTTGATATGCTCCCTATTATCACACTGATAACATCATAATGCTCTGCAGTTATTGTCACCACATACGCTTTATCCTTTTCTAAATTATATAGAAATAATCTGATCTTTGCTGTGACTATTTCTTATGTGATCCTGGAGCATTGTAACATTCTTAATCCTTCTCAATTCTCTCTGGTCTAATCCCAAATTTGAAAATACAGTAAGAGTAATTCCCTTAGAAGATAGATGATTCCCTTAGAAGATAAATGTGATAATGTCTGTGCTCTATTTGAAACCCTTCCCCAGCTTTCCACTGCTCTTAAATGAAAGCCTCAACTCTTCACCGTGTCCTACATAGAAGAACAGGGCTGCTTCTGCTCTAGCCTCATCAATGCTCTGCTCTGTCCTCACCCTCAGTATTTGCTCTACTCCAGCCTCCCATGTATATTTCTGCTGCAGCCACTCTGCGCTCATTTTATTTCCCCTATATTTCCCTGAGTTATTCTTACCAATGCTCTTTCTTCTTTGCCTGCAGTGCTTATCTGTTTTTATCCTTCCATTCTTGTCTATTATTTCCATGAATTGCACCCTCTGATCCACAAGAAGAAGCCCAACCCAAGTCTGAGTGGAGTTCTTCTAGGTGCTTTTATGGCACTGCAGATATACTCAGTACTGGAGCTCAAAGCAAAGTGGGCATTCAAAGACCCCACATGAGCCTCGATGACTAACAAAGCACAACATTATCCTCATGAGTGCAGGAGCCATTTCCTAGGTTTGACATAACAAGGCCTGCAAGTTAAAGAAATGGAAAGTAGTTTAGCTGAGAAAGAAGGATAATGTGAGAGAATAATTCAAGTCCCAATGAGTACTTCAAGTTGCCTCTCTGTTCAGAAATATCAGGGTGAATTTCTAATAGTGTGATCAATATTTATAAGTCCCCATATTTAGCAAAATTGTATTGTAAAATTAGTCAATCTCTAGAGATTTCTATTTATGATTTCCAAGCATTAAGTCCCACCTCAAAACTTGAACTTGATCTCTTAAATCACAGATAAATGAATTATTTATAGATACATTTTTATTTTTTATTTTTTTGGTACAGGGGATTGAACTCAGAGGCACTCAACCAAGTTTTTTTTTTTTTTTTTTTTTTTTTTTTGTATTTTATAGAGAGACAGGGTCTCACTGAGTTGCTTAGTGCCTCGCTTTTGCTGAGGCTGGCTTTGAATTCACAATCCTCTTGCCTCAGCCTCCTGAGCCCCTGGGATTAAGGTGTGAAGCACCATGCCCAGTATGTACCTTTTTAAACCCTTGCAATGTATCATGATTCTGATTTGAAACTTGCTATTGAATTTATGACTACCTGACAGTATAACAGGTAATTCAGTTACATAAAAAGAACTAATGTTCTCATGAAAACATAAGATATTTAAGAGTATTTTATAATTTTGGTCAATACTTTCCATAGAAATGTGTAGTTGACTCCCAGTCAGTAAAATTGATATTCATTTATCCATTTTGTTGTGTAAATATCCTCCAAAAGAGAGAGGAATTCCATATTAAAATATTTCAAGAATATTTACATACCATAACTAATAATGAAAGATCCTTCTAGAAGCTCCATTTTGCCTCTTAAAAGCTGCTAGATAATTTCTGGACTTGCCTTATGTGGTCATCAGTGGTAACTATTATATATAGAATCAAAGTCGGCGAGGAAACTCTTGGAGAACATGTGGACATGAACAAAGATAAAAGCAGAAGGATTATAATTTGCCATCTTAAGTATTATAAGAGCAAGTTTTTAAATAACTCTTCTTATCCAACACACATAATTAAGAGAACAAGACTAATTTTAACCAAAAAAATGTTTTTTGTTGTAGAAGTAAATTACAAAATACCCATGCCTGCTTTCTAAGCAATTATATCTCAATGAATTTTGCCTTTCTCTGTGTTCATGTTGTAGAAATGGTCATAAGCACAATTTTGAAAGATGTTAAAGATGTTCACTAATAATATAACTCAGAACATACTTCTGAGATTTCCAGTACTGAGGAATTTCCTTCTTTGCACTTTAAAATTATAGAGTTATCAGGACCCTCTAGTAATATCTCATAATATATGGCTAAAACTAATTGAAAAAGTTTTCTCAAGATTTCCCTTTCCCCATTGCAACTGGAGTAGGCTCTTACTTCACCCCATATCACCTCCCAATTTCTGACTCAATTTCAAGTCAGCAAGATCATAAAACTATTGTGTGTTAGAATATTTTAGTTTTGTAGTGCTGGCTGAGGTTTGGGTAAACCAGGTATTTACAAAATGGCACAAACCATTCTGCAGGCATTAACTTCACTTCCAATTTTAGTGTGGGACTTCCACTTACCTTATTAAGTAGTCAACTAACCTGTGTTCACCATTATAATAGTCCTTCCAGAGCAGCATAGTGAAATTCACAGTAGTATTGTTGATTTTATCTCTAATGAAAATCCCAAACATTTACTAACATGAATTGTTTATTTGTTTTTAAATACATGTTTCTATCTAGAGATGTATTAAAATGATATTCTTTATAAAGAAAAAAATTCTTAACAGCATTTTCTTGGTTTCCCAGATTTATAGTTTATTTTCTTTTTCAGCTAAACAGTGTGCTCCCTTTCCATTTCCTGCATTAAAGACTGAGAAACATTTCCTAACTGCCTTATAGAATGTTGTAGTTATGAATGTTATGTACCCTCTGATATCATGCCTCGAGAAGGGCACATTACCTCTGTGGTATCCTTCCCAATAATTCATAACCTCAATCTAATCATGAGAAAACATCAGGTAAACTTAATTGGAAGAACATTCCATAGAATAACTGACTGGTCTTCTTCTAAATCTTATAAGTAACTCTCATTCCATTAAATAAGCAATTCTGTAAAAAAGCACACATTCTATAAATTTAACAAAGATGGGAAAATACCTGAAAAAATATCATGATTCTGATTTGAAACTTGCTTTTGAAACTTTTATAAAGATGTTTTATTAAATCAACAAAGTGTTCAAAATGTTACCTTCCAGTTTGCCTAAAATAAGTGTGTACAAATAGTTTTATGACACATTTCCATCACTTCTCTCCACAGGTGACTCGGCTAATCTAACCTGCAGAGCTTTTTTTGGGTACAGTGGAGATGTCAGTCCTTTAATTTATTGGATGAAAGGAGAGAAGTTTATTGAAGATCTTGATGAAAATCGAGTTTGGGAAAGTGACATTAGGTAAAATAATTTTTTTTCTTTTAACTTGTACATTCATTCAAGTTATCATTTGCTCTGTGAATGAATAAAAAGTTAACTACTCACTCCCCAAAAGTGATTTTTTTTTGGTTTCCTATTATCATAATTAAAATACTATAATATTTGAGGACAAAGAAACAAAGTTCTATTAAGAAACTGATTATGGAATTGTAAAATATGAATTCCATTTGCAAAGAATTTAAAAGAACTTTTAAAAGATGTGCTTCACTAAAGAATATACTTAATATGAGACTAAAATACTATTAAATATAGAAAATATAGAAGCCCATTCTATCTTTGAAAAAATCAGTGAGCCTTTTGTTTGTAAAAGCTTTTTTTTTTAATTATTGAGAGGAAACATGAACAAGACACAAGGACTCAAACAAAATATCCATCATTTCCTTTTATGTTTTTATATATTTAAGATACAAAGTAGAATATAAAACACTTGATGGAGTGACAAAGGATTTATAAAACATTTTAATAATCTTTCTCAGTCTGACTTTCAGGTCTAAATATTTATTTAATAGAAATAATATGAAGAGAACTAACCAATTAAAATACCATCTATTTTGAAGGCATTAATGCTTTAGCCTCTTTATTTTTTCAATGTACCTATGTATTTATTAACTTACTTTTGAGTATCAAGTCATTCAATTTTGACTAAACTTATGCTTAGGCATAAATACTTATTTTTAATCATGACATAAATAAGAAGATACTCATAATTATAACTAAATCAAAATAATAATGATCCTTTCTAAACCTTCTCCCATCTAAAGGTTGCATATTCTAATATATATATGATGTATTTAAACCATGGTTCTCTTTTTAAATGTTAAGACTTTTAAAACCTTATCCAATGTAGAAGAGAAAATGTTTTTCAATAAAAAATAAAAACACACAAGCTGTCATATAAGATTACTTCTAGCGGAATCTTATTTTTGGCAACCATTATACAAGAATATCTCAGTCTGGAATGCTCTAAGTGGATTCTGGAAAGCCTGGATGGGCAATTGTCCAATGTGTACTAAAAATGTCCCTCTGCCATTCTTCATACATAAAACTACCCTACTACACTCTTTTCTCTGACCCACACTCTTGGAAATGCTACAATTAAAGAGGGACCATATCCTTCTAGCTTTTATTCTCTTTAGTTTTGTGTGTGTGGGGGGAAGGTTCTAGAAAGGTATTTTTCTTTACTTCTGCATTAAGAAGTGCTGCACAGAGATGAATTATCAAACAGATAGGAGGGTGAGGGCAAACATTGAGAGCAGGCAAATGGATCTCTAGTTTGAAGAAGTTTTCCATTTACTCTTAGAGATTGCTAATTATCTAACAGTGAGGTTAGTTAGCATTTATCAGTCATTTAAAATGTCAGAGTTAAATGCTTATCAGAACTTTTAATCTACAGGTTTGTAAATTCATTTTTAAAAAAAAAATAGGCAACTGGTTGTATTATTCATGGAAGTCAGGCTGAAGGTTTCAAATGAAACGTCAAAATAGCTTAGAAATTTTCTTTTCTTTCTTTTTAAAAATTGGCCTGATATATAATTAGGGCTCCAACCTAAGACTTTAAAATTTCTTATCTCCCTTCATATCATATTTCTTCTTAAAGGAAAGGCAATTTATAAACTTTTCTTCAAGGTCTCTTTCACCTATTTATTATGACACTATGATTGTCCTGCTAAGAGAGATAATTAACTGCAACTTCATTAGCATCTACAAAGACAAGCTTCCTCATTAGAAGTAAAGAAAAGAAGGGCATGATATAATTTAATTATCCTAGCATCAATCCAGAGCCATATTTGAAGCACAGATTCTGTAGATAATTTCATATTACATTCAGATTAATCTACCTTTCTTTCTTTTTTATGTATGTGTATGTATATGTTTGTGTGGGATTTTTTGTTTCGTTTTGCTTTATGTTTTAGAATTCTTAAGGAGCATCTTGGAGAACAAGAAGTTTCTATCTCATTAATTGTGGACTCTGTGGAAGAGGGTGACTTGGGAAATTACTCTTGTTATGTTGAAAATGGAAATGGACGTCGCCATGCCAGCGTCCTCCTTCATAAACGGGGTAAGTGCAATTTTCTACACTTGAGTGATAAACTGAGCATACAGTGGAGGCAAATCATTGGAACCACAAAAAAATAAATTTTATTTTTATACAGAAACTTATACAAAATAAAAACAATAAATTAGTGTTATGATCATCAAGAAAGAGAGTACCAAGGATGAGTGAATTAGCTCCAGTTCTAGAGTCAAATTTGGAATCCTTGCTCTGATTTAATACTGTATAATATTGAGCAAGAGGGCTGGGGTTGTGGCTCAGTGAAAGAACGCTCTCCTAGCACGTGCAAGGTGCTGGGTTCGATCCTCAGCACCACATAAAAATAAATAAATAAAATAAAGGTATTAAAAAATATATTCAGCAAGATATTTAACTTCCCCTGGCATCAGTTTCTTGATATATAGAATGATACGATATAAAGATAAAAGATAAAAGATATCAACTTGAAGGACTTGACATAGCATCTATATGCAGAAAATATTTAGTTAAATGGTACTTATTATTATCAAAAATAGGCATTAAGTTATTAAAAATAAACTAAATGTTTTTAAATCAAAGATTGTGTACATTTCTGGAAAGTTATCCCTCTAGTGAAAGAACCATGTGTGATTAATTTCCCAGTGCAGTTCTTCTTGATAGTTTTCTACATTGTGTAACTTTTATAAATGTAATGTCCTCCCATAATTAACAATAATTTATTATAAGTAATATAGGACATGGTTGAGTGTAGCATCTGCCATAGTAACTCTGACTTCACAGCAGCCCCATCACCTTATATAAAGGGTTAAATATATATATGTGTGTGTGTATGTATGTGTGTGTGTACATTGAATTGTTTTAAATTAGAGATGATTGTAATATGTGAGGCATGCTTTGACTCAGTAACATTTTGCATGCACATTACATAAGAAAAATATATTTTTCCACATTATGCTAAGTAAAACTTTCTAGTCTTTGGGATAAGTACACTTGATGTTCTCTTACTCAGCAAATTTACAATGATTTTAATTTCAAAGCACATGTTTAATCCTAGACTATTTGAGGTTTGGAAAGAAAGAGAACATGAAGACTTTCCCCTACTTTATTGGGTGAGAGATTCCTTTGAATAATATTACTGAAAGCTATTAAAATAGACACCTCTGTTGTCAAGGTGATTACAATATTAAAATAGTCTATTCTTTTGGGATGTGAGTCAAGGAGAAATGTATGTAGCATCTAGCAATATGATTCTTTCTGTAGCTTAATATGCAGCTAATCAGTAAAGGAATCTGAGTAGAAATATCATAGATATACAAGGACAGAAATAGTTTTTCAGGATTAGAAGCAACTTAAATGTCATGGAACTTACCTTCTCATCCTTCCATAACATCTTCCCAAGTGGCCCATCAGCTTATATTGGATTATATTCCCTCGAAAGGAAACCCATTTTATCATTGGGGGTGGGGGATGCTGTTCAAAGGCATCCCTATTTCACCATTTATTCAATGGCTCTAGTTCTATGCTTTTAAATATTCTTTCCAAAAATAGCCCTTCAAATGTTGAATGACAGTCACCATAAACCTGCTGGACCTTCATTTCTTTATTCGTATGCATGAAACCCTTCTAGTATTCTTTCTTTTTTTGGGGGGTGGGGTAGTTGTACTGGGGATTGATCTCAGGGGCATTCAACCAGTAAGCCACATCCCCAGCCTTATTTTGTATTTAGAGACAGGGCCTCACTGAGTTGCTTAGTGCCTCACTTTTGCTGAGGCTGGCATTCAGGGGTGGGGGGATGATGGCCAGCATCTTTGGGGGGGGGGTTCTTCTTACCCACAGGAGTCCAAGCTACCCTAAAACTTACAATCTCAGATAATTAGTAACAAAGCACAAATAGTCAGAATATATTTACAGGATGTGAAGCCCCTGATAGATCTAGTCCACATGGGTTCTGAAACTAGACAAAGGGAAAATGGCTCCAGTAGTTTATTTAAAGGGGTACATCAAAGGCAGGGATAAGGTTTCTAGGGCAGAGTCTTAATTCATGATGTCTTGCAGTCAGAAGGTTGATTGACATCTTAGGTGCTGTGTGGGCCATGGCAGAACAGGAAAGAGATTCACATTGTCCCTGGGCTATTGACCAGATGAAATGTCCACTGGCCATTCCCAGACACCAGATGTCTCTATCTATGAAGCTTCCATGCACAGTCACCCACATGGAACCCATGAACAGATCCTGACAGCTGGCTTTGAATTCTTAATCCTCCTGTCTCAGTCTCCTGAGCCGCTGGGATTACAGGCTTGCACCACCATGCCTGGCTCCAACATTCTTATCACTCTCTTGCATATATTCTAATTGAAGAATTTGAATTATTCCTTATGAACAGAAGTAGTAGAGAGATGTTATATTGAACATATAAAAATCTGCTTTTTTGGACAACATGTTTCTCTAGAGGGCAAGATAGGGGTATCAGTTAAATAGCAATCAATCACAAGGAGAGGGGAAGGAAAACAAATAGTATCTAAGGGTAAAGCTATTTAAGCTCTGATTTTGCAGACAGGCACAGAGCCAGGAAGGGTCAAAACCTCCTAGGATATTTTACCAGATTTAGCCTGAGATTAATTTGCCCAAAGCTACAAAAGCTTCTAGTTATAGAAGAACAAATGATTGAGGAATCAAGGAAATTATCTGGAAAAAACTTTCCAGCAAAGTCTGATTCCTTAAACATGGAAAAGAAAATTGTGGCCAAATTTTCAGTTTTAAATATTTAAGTCTTACATGTTGTTTTTTTTTTTTTATTTTTTTAAATTTGTGTGTATATCAAGAGCATTTTGTTCTGATTAAAATGAACACATTAAGCCAGGCATGATGGTGCATACCTGTAATCCCAGTGGCTCAGGAGGCTGAGGCAGGAGGATTACAAATTCAAAGCTAGCCTCAGAAACTTAGTGAGGCTCTAAGCAATTTAGTGAGACCCTGTCTCAAAATAAAACATAAAAAGGGCTGGGGATGTGGCTCAGTAGTTAAACACCTCTGGGTTCAATCCCTGGTACTGAAAAATTAAATTAAATTAAAGCATTAAGAAGTCAAAAAGAGCTGGCACAATGGGAGAGGTCTATAATCCCAGTGACCCAAGAAGCTGAGAGAGGAGGATCCCAAGTTCAAGTTTAGCCTCAGCAATTTAATGAAACCCTGTCTCAAAATAAAAAAATAAAATGGGCTGAGGATGTGACTCTGTGGTAAAGCTACCCTGGGTTCAATCCCCAGTACCATTTTTTTTTTTTTAATGACAGAAAATACTTCAAAGTTATATACTGTAAAAGTCCCTCTTAAAGTCAGTGGGTGCTTTCCTTTTAAGGGAGCTGGAGTTAATGACTCATCAATTTGCAAAGGCAGTAATAGATGTAAACTCAGGCTCTTGAAGGGCTCATTATCATGTAGAATAATCCCACCAGTCAACATATGACATCATTACAACTTCATCACCCCTGCCTGGTTCAAAAGGGCCAGACTCAGCATATGTGAGCCCATAGGTCTGGATATTTGATCAGAGGGTCCCTAAGAAAGTAAAATTTCTTCATGCTAGCAATCATCTAATTATCAGATGAGTCGCAATATAACTTAGAGAACAAAGGGTCACAAAAACTACTGCAAGCTGTCACTATTAATCTTGTGTTTTTGTCATTGACTCCCCAATTTCTTAATTTATAGTCTTCCTTTTGAAAAACTCCCTGAAAAAATATATTACAACATTTGTTTGACACAGATCTTGTACACAATAAACAGCCATCTGTTCTGGCAGGTGAACTTTAGCAGGGCATACCTTTGCTAAAGTTATCTAAGTGTTTTTCTTCTACTCTTAACCTTTTGTTCTCTATTATTGACATAATAACATGATTTCAGAGCCCTGTAGTGGGTGGCATAGATTCATTTGAAACATCACTTCCATCTACCAAATGAGTCTACATTTGAGCTAGGCTGGATCCTGCATTAGCCTTTTATCTTTATAAAAGAGTCTTAATTTTGTAAAAAGCCAGCTGAAAATCCACCAAGAAATTTTTTTTATTGGTTGTTCAAAACATTACAAAGCTCTTGACATATCATATTTCATACATTAGATTCAAGTGGGTTATGGACTCCCATTTTTACCCCAAATACAGATTGCAGAATCACATCGGTTACACATCCACATTTTTACATAATACCATATTAGTAACTGTTGACCAGTAAAAAAATCTTGCTTGAGATTATAAAAACCTGTCAATTTTTTTTGCACCAGAGAAGATATTTGGAAAGTTAGAATCATGCCAGATATACAATGTAGATATATTTTACTTACTATACAGAGTACTAACATATGCAATGAAAGAGAGTTGAGGAATGAAAGCACAAGGTCCATGGAGAACTATTGGTCTATAACTGCCCTACTTCTTACTCTCTGCTGTAGCTCAGAGCTTCTATTCAGTCCTTTTTGACAGTCCCCAGCCTAGTAAGCTTGGGAGTTAGATCCTGGATTCAAAAAGAATCAAAATAAAGTGTTGATTCATTAGTTATCAGGTTATTTATTATGCTTCTCATTGCCCATACTTGATTGAATTTGGCATCTTGATGCCATCTCTTAATCTTTTACCCAGATGACTTTGCTTGATTTCTCATGGCTACTCTGTGTCTTGACGCTGATTTTCAGTTTTCCTCCAATTCTGACCTTTCCTGATGCCTCCATTTTGTATGTTTTCCATTTCTCTGATTCAAATAATAATCCAGATGGATATCCAGCAGCACTGTGCTCTGGCCTCAGGCATACCTGATCCTGCATCCATCAGTTAGTACTGAATTTCTTTGTTCTACTTATCTTTCATCTGTACTCTCACTTTGGATGACCTCACAGTGTGGACATGTTTACTATCTGTAGCCAAATACTATAATGATGAAAGACATGCACCCAGTGTTACTAGGCCCAGGTCTGGCTTCTCGCCACTTGAAAGCCAATACTCAAGAGATGAGAGTCAGAGGAAGGAAGTCAATTTTA